TTTTTATGTATTATATATATATATATATATATATATATATATATATATATATATATATATATATATATATATATATATATATATATACACACACAGTTGTACCCCACTTAACGCGGTCAATAAAACCCAGAGGGTACCGCGTTAAGTGAAAATCGCGTTAAGTGAACAACAGAACATATGGGATTAATTCCAATAGAAACCGACCTGACCCCCAAACTCCACTTTTTGACGACACATAACTATGTTGTAGTAAAAATAACATCTTAATTTTATGATGGTACATGCACACAATTAATACTTAAGAGAAATAGAGAAATACAGTCGTCAAGTTAATGTCCATTCAAATAATGGACTCAACTCCCTCCCCCTCTTCTCACACTACACTGCTGGCTCTTCCCTCTCTGAGAAATTTTTGGGAGAAAACCACTAAATTTTAATAAATAATACCTCAAACTAAAGTTAGGATAATACAATTGACATTGCTGGATTCCTTGTAAGACCAGGAATATTTTGAATATAAATGTCATATATTTTGCACAAAAGAGAACATATCTACTCAGAGTAAACATTTTATCTAAAATTTGTATGTCTTATGCAAAGTCTATGATGTTTATATTCAAAATGATCATCAAATTATAAGAATTCCAGCAATGTAAATTATATTCTGACCGGGTAATTTGTATGAATTTTATGAGCTAAAACAAATATCTTCAGTTAATAAAAAAAAAAAATATTCTTCACAGGGTAACAGATGGTCGGTCGGTCCCTCCCTCCCCCCCACCCCCCACCACCGTCCCAAGGAGATGTGTGGGAAAACCAGAATATTTAACTTTTTAGTAATAAATAATACCTCAAACTAAAGTTAGGATAATATAATTGACATTGCTGGATTCCTTGTAAGACCAGGAATATTTTGAATACAAATGTCATATATTTTGCACAAAAAATAACATATTTACTCAGAATAAACATTATATCTAAAATTTGTATGTCTAATGCAAAATCTATGATGTTTATATTCAAAATGATCATCATATTGTAAGAATTCCAGCAATGTAAATTATATTCTGGCCGGGTAATTTGTATGAATTTTATGAGCTAAAACAGGCAGTCAGGCAGGGTGGCGGGTGGGGGGTGGGGCGAATCTAAAAATAGCTCTCGAGCCGGACACTCACCTCGTATATGTGGAAAAAATCCGTGTTAAGTGAAAGTTCGCTTCTGGCGAGGCACCGCGTATATGAAAAAACGCGTTAAGTGAAACCGCGTTAGGCGGGGTAATACTGTTTATATATATGTATATGTATATATATATATGTGTATATATATATGTATATATATATATATATACGTATATATATATATATATATACACAGTGATCCCTCAGTTAACGAGCGCCTCGGTTAACGAGATTTCGGTTAACGAGTTGCCTCCCATAAGATTCTTAACTTCGGTTAACAAGCAATCCCTTGGTTAACAAGTTTCTTACGAGCCGACCTCAAGTTTTCGCTTGCACTTGGCGGTCAACCAGCTGTAGTATTAGTCCGCCAATACAGTAATCGGTTCTAGGGCTTAAATTCCTTACTATTTTAGTAAATATCAAGAAGTTTATACTATTCAATAATTTTAAAAGTTTAATATTAAATTTTTTAGACATTTTAACAATTATTGAACATAATTGAAGGTAAAGTGACTAGTTAAATGCGCGGCATCCAGCCTCTCAACACACCATACAGGCGTCAGTCTTTGTGTCTTCTCAGTGGAGGTAACATCTTGCTTGAGACTCTCTTCAAGTAAACACTTTTTTCTGTGTTTGCAAGCAAATTATTGGTCATTTTGAAATTTATTTTACATATTGACAATATATAATGCAGTGCAGTGTTGATTGAAAGAAAATAATCCTGAATTACACCAAGAGAACTAAAATTTTATGGGTGAAATGTCGCCTTGGGGTGACTTCTCTTCCACCCCAATGCCTTCTCTTCTCCCATCTCCTCCACCCCCATTCTAATTCCCATCATTATCATCATCATCATCCAGGAGCCTTCTACATACACACCTCAAAATAAGTGTACTTTTCTACATTTTTTGTTGAATTTAGGCAATTTTCGGTGAGCTGGAACCAATTACCCATAAACCCATTGAAACAGTGGTTTCGGTTGACGAGTTTTTCGGTTAACGAGCAACCTTCTAGAACGGATTGTGCTCGTTAACCGAGGGACCACTGTACTGCATATATACAGTTGTACCCCGCTTTACGCGGTTTCACTTTATGCGATTTCTCATATACGCGGTGCCTCGCCAGAACCGAACTTTCTCTTTACGCGGTTCATCTTCCCATATACGCGTGAAGTATAATTTTTTTTTTTTATTTAGCTCAAAAAATTCATACAAATTACCCGGCCAGAATATAATTTACATTGCTGGAATTCTTACAATTTGATGATCATTTTGAATAGGAACATCATGCATTTTGCATTAGACATACAAATTTTAGATGTAATATTTACTCTGAGTAAATATGTTATCTTTTGTGAAAAATATATGACATTTATATTCAAAATATTCCTGGTCTTACAAGGGATCCAGCAATGTCAATTATATTATCCTAACTTTAGTCTGAGTTATTATTCATTACTTAAAAGGTAAATATTCTGGTTTTCCCACACATTTATCTAGTAGGGAGGGTTGGTGGGGGTGGGGGGAGGGAGGGACCGACCTACCATCTGGCACAGTGTGAAGAATTTTTTTTTTTTATTAACAAGATATTTGTTTTAGCTCATAAAATTCATACAAATTACCTGGCCAGAATATAATTTACATTGCTAGAATTCTTACAATTTGTTGATCATTTTGAATATAAACATCATACATTTTGCATTAGACATACAAATTTTAGATGTAATGTTTACTCTGAGTAAATATGTTATCTTTTGTGCAAAATATATGACATTTATATTCAAAATGTTCCTGGTCTTACAAGGAATCCAGCAATGTCAATTATATTATCCTAACTTTAGTCTGAGGTATTATTTGTTGCTAAAAGTTAAAATTAGTTTTTTCACCCAACATTTCTTTGGTAGGGAGGGAAGGTGGGGGGTGGGGGGGAGGGTTGGGACTGACCGACCATCTGGCACGGTTGGAAGAGGGGGGGAGGCAAGTTGGGGTACTTTGATTGACAGATAAAGTCGTGAAGAATATTTTTTTTTTTATTAACTGAAGATATTTGTTTTAGCTCATAAAATTCATACAACTCACTGGACCAGAATATAATTTACATTGCTGGAATTCTTACAATATGATTATCATTTTGAATATAAACATCATGGATTTTGCATTAGACATACAAATTTTAGATCTAATGTAATAATTTGGTTTACACAAAGCAAGTATTTTATCTTTTGTGCAAAATATATGAAGTTTACATTCAAAATATTCCCTGACCTGCAAGGAATCCAGAAATGTCAATTATATTATCCTAACTTTAGTCTGAGGTATTATTTATTACTAAACGTTAAAATCTAGTTTTTCACCCAATCATTTCTCAGAGAGGTAGGGGCCAGTGAGCTGGGAAGAGGGGGGGGGAGGGGATTTGAGTCTATTATTTGAATGGACATTAACCTGGCGACTGTATTTCTCTTAAATATTAATTGTGTGAGCATACCATCATAAAATTTAGATGTTATTTTTACTACAACATAGGTATTGTGTCGGAAAAAGTGGAGTTTGGGGGTCGGGCCAGTCTCTATTGGAATTAATCCCATATGTTCTGTTGTTCCATTTACGCGGATTTCACTTAACGCGGTACCCTGTGGATTCAATTGACCGCGTAAATTGGGGTACTACTGTATATATTTTTATTTATTTATTTTTTTCAGTGAAGACAAGCCCGGAAGGGTGAAAAACAACTTCATTCACTAAGTGACTTCAAAGCAGAGGATATTAGTCACTAAAGATCGACTGTCTTCCTAGATAGAAGGCAAGCCCCGGTCGCCAAGCTGACCAGACCGTATAAAAAATTGCCCCAAACACAACATCTGAGAGAAATAATCAAAATAAAAGTCACTCAATTTCCTCACCGTGCTAAGATGTATAAATACCAAAAGTAAAATCCTCGTGGCACTTAATATTTCAGCTGTTACAACACAAATTAGCAGAGCCTTCCTTGTGCGCATTTACAGCTGATTCGCCAGGCAATAAGATGACGGTAGTGATGTGTGTGATGGAGGGTGTGGGAGGGGGTTTTGAGAATTGCCATTAAATACCAGGTAGCAACATGTCCTCCTAATAATACGTATTTATGTAATTATTAGATGTTTTAATTGCCTGTATGTTGGCCTGGCGAGTTAATGCAAGGCATATACCTACGTAGGTATAAAGATAGACTTCGCATTCCGGAATGAACAAAAATCAACTTTTCAAAAAAAAAAAAAAAAATGGCGGGAATCGGCAGACATTCTGGAACTTCACCCGGGGCCTAATAGTTAAACAATCTGACACCTCCCAGTCTCTCAATACTGTATGTCAATATTAGCTTAATAATGTACACCCATGTTATCAATTTGTTGCGGTGAGAATGGAGAAAAAAATTAGGTCAAGAGATGCATGAGTCTAAAACTGGAAGGGAGGAGAGTCAAGGGTAGGCTAAGAATGACATGGGGAGAAGTTGTGAGAAATGACTACAAAGGATGCAAGAGATCGTGAAACCTGGAGAGCTGCCATATATGGTAGCATATATCTTAAGCATGAAGTTGAATTTATTGAAGGTGTTACATGCCAGAGTTGCTCAGATGACTTATGTGCAACCAAACCTAAGAATAATTAATATGGCTATTCTATCTTATCTAGTCTCCCCTCCCTTATAACAGGCCATCTGTCTGGGGTTAAAATCAAAGCTTAACCAAATACACCATTGCATGTTCTACACAGTACAGTTAGGTCCTGAAAGTACTTCTTTCCTTGACTTAAAATAATAGTTTTGTTAATGCTCTCTTTTCTTCAGTGAAACTGACAATGATCAGGTTGTTCGCAAACTCGTTAATGACCTAGAAGATGTCGACCTCAATCTGATGGAAATTGGAGCTAGGCCTATACCTGAGGAAAATAATGTTCAGCAGCTGCTTATCTTACAGGTAAAATTTTTTATTAATATTATATTTAGAATTCATGTGACTGTATGTAATAGCACATCACTGTACATGTACTAGACTAATTGTTGCTTAGGACTGTCCAGTACATTGGAGTTGTGGTATAAAAGACTTTTTACACAGTGGTATATACTCCTCACTTACACCCAGTACAGCACAACTTCATTGACTCAAGCAATAAGAGACAGATACTGTACTTGTAGACAATGTAGGAGAATGTGAAACTTTTTTCAATTGCATTATATATATATCTGTATATATATATATATATATATATATATATATATATATATATATATATATATATATATATATATATATATATATATATATATATATATATATATATATATATATATATATATATATATATATATATATATATATATATATATATATATATATATATATATATATTTCATGTAGATCCACAATGAAAACGTGGATAAGATAAATCTTGATAAAATCACACGGGAAAAGGGAAACAACGGAGCACCTTAGCTTTCGTCTTTATTCAAGACATCTTCAGAGGCAACTGGATTACATGGACAGAGAGAGGCTTAAATATACAGGGTGACCTTAAAAACATGAGGTCAGGTCATAATGATGTCATCCACTAATCCCCACACCAACACACACGTAGAGGAGCTTAAGAGAAGGGGGGTGACGTGACTAGTCAGGTCAGGTCAAAAATAAGGGACCCACTAAATAACTATCATACATCTAGATCAAAGGTTTTCAAAGCATTTTTAACCTTGGGCCACTGACAAATAAATTTATGTAACATATTATCAGTTTTGAACTGACCATCACTAAGGATTATTGATTTTAATTCCTTTATCAAACTAGCTTCAACCAGAAGTCTTTCTGTGACACAAGATGATTTAAATACTTCTAAGCTTTTTTCCCAAACAATGGGATGATTATTATTCCTAACATGAACGAACAAGGCACTGCTTTCAGATGCTGTTCTGATATTGTACTTATGTTGTTTGATTCTGAGCTGCAGTGTTTTTCCTGTCTGTCCTACATAATTACAATTACATTTGCTACATGGAATACAATAAACACTTCCATTTACATTCAAACTTGGGCTATTTCTTATTAACATATTGGTAATGGTTGAGTCATACTTGAAAACAACATTAATATTTAGAAGCTTGAGGGACCGAACTAACGGGACAAATTCATTACGATAGGGCAGAGTCAAAATATTCTTAAGTGTAGGAATTTGCCTGGTTTGAGTGGAATGAAAGGATTTTTTAGCCCTTTTAAAACAACGATCAACAAACACAGAAGGGTACCCGAGTTTCTGTGCAATGGAACGAATGTGTTTCAATTCATTGTCAATAAATTCAGAGTCACAAATACGCAGACATCTTAAGAACATAGCAGAAAAAACTGACATTTTGGTAGACTCCAGGTGATTCGATTAAAAGTGTATGAAACTGTCTACCTGTGTGGGCTTTCTGTATACAGTTGTACCCCGCTTTACGCGGTTTCACTTTACACGATTTCTCATATACGCGGTGCCTCGCCAGAACCGAACTTTCACTTAACGCGGTTCAGCTACCCATATACGCGCAGAGTGTCCGGCTCGACGCTATTTTTAGATTCGCCCCACCCGCCTGCTCCCTCCTCCTCCCTCCTCTCGCCTCCGCCTGGGCAAGCCGCGCGGTAAGGTTGCGCAGTGCATGTCTCTGTTGCATTATCACTGACGTCATATGACGTATCGGACTGTGATTGGCCATGCATCCCTACCCCCCTCTGCTGCTAGCTGTAATTGGTTTAAAGTAATATGACGTGTCCACCCGGGGAGGGAGGAAAGACGACGCTGCTTGACCTAGCCGCGGCAGTTTCATCCCTCCTGGTCCCGTATGCCGACCCATCTCTTCTACTAACGTAAGTGTTACACCTAACTTTTAGTTTTCCTAACCTAACCTTTATTTTTCCTCACTTAACCATTATTTTTCCTAACCTAACCTCTTCTATATACTTGTTTGTGCATACCATCATAAAGTTAAGATAAAAATTTCACTGCAACATAGTTGTGTGTCATCAAAAAGTGGAGTTTGGGGGTCGGGCCAGTCTCTATTGGAATTAATCCCATTTGTTCTGTTGTTCCATTTACGCGGATTTCACTTAACGCGGTACCCTGTGGGTTCAATTGACCATGTAAATCAGGGTACAACTGTACCTTAAATTTGTAGTTTTGGCCTGACCTCATGTTTTTAAGTTCACCCTGTATATTTAAGCCTCTCTCTGTCCATGTAATCCAGTTGCCTCTGAAGATGTCTTGAATAAAGACGAAAGCTAAGGTGCTCCGTTGTTACCCTTTTCCCGTGTGATTTTATCAAAATATACATATATATATATATATATATATATATATATATATATATATATATATATATATATATATATATATATATATATATATATATATATATATATATATATATATATATATATATATATATATATATATATATATATATATATATATATATATATATATATTATATATATATATATATATATATATATATATATATATATATATATATATATATATATATATATATATATATATATATATATATATATATATATATATATATATATATATATATATATATATATATATATATATATATACAATAATAATAATAATAATATTAATAATAATAATAATAATCAATATAATATATAAATAATAATAATAATAACACAGTCATGCGCCAGTTAACTTCCTAGATACGTTCTTGGAAACGTGACGTTAACCGAAATGGACGTTGTCCGATCATCACACAAACTTTTAATTTATACTTGTACTTATGTGTATGTGGAATGCTATATACGTACATATACACTTTTACTCTTAAATCACTACTGTAATGTGATACAGGTGATTAATTTTTATCTCTTGTGCAAAATACATGACGTTTATATTAAAATTATTCACTGTTTTACAAGGATTCCAGCAACGCCGGGCAGATGGGGGAGAGGGAGGGAGCGAGCGAGGAGGCTTGGGGGGAGGGGAGGTAGTACGTTTGACAGTTGGCACCGGCCCAGGTCTAACGCGTGTACCTGTATATTTATCAGTTCTTAAGTGAGTAAGCTTCTCTCTTATAAAAAGCCAGTGACATGACCTGGGTGAATATAATTAACATTGTTGGGATTCTTGTAAAACACTGATTAATTTGAATATAAACATGCTAGAATTTGCACTAGACATGACAATTTTAGTACCGTAATCAAATTAGTACATGTGCACTCCAGCTTTGCACTAAGGTCATTTATTTGTTTTACGTTTCTTTTAGTATGGTGTGTGCATGGAAATGGATGAAAATAAATGAAGAAATTGATGTAAATCTACCCAAAAATGCAGTTGAAAAAATTTATATTATAAATGTACTACAGTACTGTACACTAATGTACAACAATTTTTATCTCTTGAGCAAAATATATGACGTTTATATTCAAATTATTAGCTGTCTTGCAAGGATTCCAGCAATGCAAATTATAATCTAACTTTAGTCTGAGATATTATATAAGATAAAAACTGTAAGCCTAAATAAACCCCTGGCTGAGCAAATTAGGGAGGGAGGGACGGAGACAGGAGGGGTGGGGGGAGGGGTTGAGGTGATAAGTTTGAGCCGAAGGTCTCTGTGTGTTTATTTAACAGTCCTACTAAGCTTCTCTCATTTTAAAATGACAGTGATTTGACCTAGGAGAATATACCATATATACTCGTGTGTAGTTCGAGTTTTTAAGACCAAATTTTTAGGCAAAAAATTGGGGGTCGTCCTATACATGCGTAATAGTTTTGTTAGGTTGAACCCGTGCATGATGGGAAGGGTGGGGAGCAACTTTTAGCTTAGCTTCAGACATGAAAAATATTAACCATTTACTGCCAGTAAACAATGGAAACGTAAAATATGTACCAATTAGTAATGAAAAGTTGTGCAGTTCCTTCAGCAAATGAAGCTCACCAACTTACAATAGGCTAAATTACCTTACAACGTGCTTTCAGTAGTCTATGTTGAAGTTCTGAGCACAGGCTAACTTATCATATCATATACGGTATCACAGTTTTCATTGATCTACAAAAAATATCGGTAATAAAAACCTTTTCGATATTTCACTCTTAATATAATACCCGGTAATCTACTTCAACCTCCTATTGCTTACAACGACGCATGACTCACCACCAGCTATTGCGTATCAGCT